GGAAAGACCTTCCCCGGTTCTTCGTTCGCGAAGAGACTGGCCATTCAAATACTTCATCCCAGTCTTCTACTCAGAAAATTAGAATTTCATCATCTGAAATTTAAATGGCCTTTTGCATCCCTATTTATATTTTCATTCCATTTATTGAGTGAAGGGCTACGCAACTCCACTTTTAAAAATAACATGGTGGAGTTTTCCATTCTCTAAAGCAGTCCTCTGACAGAGACACACAGAGCGTCTCCTCCTCTGAGGTGTCTAGTCTTCTAAGGCTTCCCTGCAGGGTTCTGTGCAGCACCAGCTCGATGCAAAGTACTGACAACAACCCTTCTCACCAAAGAAGTAAGCATTTGCAACCACCCAAAATGCTGCCCTCTTTCCATAGGGACAAGAATACCCCAACCTCAGAATTCTATGCATCAGTTCTTCCACACCTTTATAACCCCCTTTTTTGGTGTGGTTTTGGCATATTGAATGCATTCTAAAGTGAGGTCAGAGTGGCAGAACCTTGATTCCTCCTCCCTTTTCTACCCTTAGTGGTAACAGTGCACTCCCTTTCTCTAGCCAAGCAGTTTTACCTGCAGAGACCCTCTCAGAGTCCAGAATAACCAGCCATGTCTCACGGAGGGAAAGGAAGCTTTTAATTGGCAGTAGGAGGGTTGATGTCCCTCTAAGTGCTGGATTATAGGACTCAGTGTTTGGTTTGGTCTGCCAGCAGCTCAGTGGGATGCAGGGGCAGCACGAAGAGCCATCGTCATCTGTAGCAGACACACCAATGAGTGCTGTGCTGCACACGGGGGAAAATCAGCCTAGACTCCTGCTATGTAGCATTTTATTGTTTTACCAGCCTTGAGAAAGAACTGAAATGACCAAGGAGATGTGAAAGCTAGGAAAACCAAAATGCAGGTATGAAAGTTGCAGTTATAGCAACATGACAATGTATTGAGCTGGAACTGGACTTTGCATCAGCATCCCGCTGGTTTATTTAGAGTCTGCTCAGCACCTTTTGCTCTAAAACAAAAATGATCAAAACAGGACCTAACAGGACTTTCAGTCTCTGAATTTCTCACTGCTTAAATTCCCGCTGCTGAAAACTGTCAAATTAAGAGAGGAGTTCTTCAGAGATATGGTCAGGAAAAATCCAGGGTCTGGAGTGTACTTGCTCATTCTTTCACTAATGAATCATGTGGCCAGGGGTGTGACGGACAGGGCAAAAGGGAACCTGCAACCCACCTAAACATTCCCAGTCCCTACAATGACAATTGATCAGAAATTTGCCACTGTAACCAGAAAAGACAGATAGAGACAAGTAAGGCAACAGTATCCAGCGCTGCCTGTCTCTCAGTAAAAACAATATTGACATTGCTAGGAATAGGTCTTACACTAACTGTGGAAGGCATCTGGACTCAGTTTTTTAAATTCATTATCAACTCATTATGAGAACTTGCTGTGTGAAGCAGAGCTTGGAACCAGGTGCGTCTTGTTTGTGGGGAATTTAAGTGTCTGCAGGAAATACCTGTAAAAGGAGACCTGTTGTGGAAAGTGAAGGCTGTGAAGAACTCACTGGTGTGCAACTACTGGTTACTGAAGAAATACAACCTTAATTGCTCAAGAAAAACTGTCCTAAGCATGGAGAAAAGCAGCAGCAGGTAAACAAGAATGTTATTAGTGACAAAAAAACAGCTAATCAAGAGGCTGAGTACCTGATTTGGTCAGTGAAAGAAAATCTTCCCAGCACTGTGCAATATGTAGCTCAGGAGAAAGGACTAAAGGGGACCCTTGAAATTGCAAACTGCCTTCCTGCCTCTCTTTTCCCCACTACCTGCTTCAAGGATTCAGGTTGCCTCTGCTTGCATCGAGAACGTTTTGATCAGGCAGTCAAGAGCCCAGGGTGATGTTCAGCAGCAGAAGGGGCGTGCGTGAGTCAGTTACCCCCATAACTCAGTATATTTTTCTCTTTAATCCCTCGGTGAAGCTGTATTGCACATGATGTAAATTTTAAGTAATATTTGGAGCTGAATTAATGCATGGAGTCTATACGCTCCTTTTGCCCAAATGTGCTAGAGCTCCAGAGAAGTGCTGTGGTACAAACTTCCCGCTGTTCCTCCAGGCACAGCAGTTCTCCCTTACCCAAGTGACATTAAATGGCACAAAGGAAAGTGCCAGGTATTAGACCAAAGCAAGAACTAGTGGCTGTCCTGCTGCCCAAACCTCCCTGAGCACCTCGCCTGCCTTACACTCACCACTGCTGCTGGGCTCTTCTGCTGGCACACAGTGCTCCACATCCTCAGGCTCCAGGAAGTCTCTTTTCAAAACCTCAATGACTTGTATTCTTCGAAGACTCACAAGGTCTACATCTTTTAATTTCTTTTCCAGCTGCTTTACCATTTCTTTGCTGGACTGGCTAGTCAGAATTGTGATCTGAAACACAAACCAGAGTGTGCAAGAGCTGCCTCTACCCTAATTGTCTCTTGACAGGTGATAATGCCTGGTCTGTTTGAATAGCACTGGTCCCACCTATGGAGAAAGGAGAAATCTCACTAAAATATCTCATCCATTCAAAACCAGATTTGAAAGCTATTTTTTTGAACTTTGGCTTACATTTAAGCCAATATGAAATGGACTGAGGGGGTCACTGGAGGAACATCTGTAGGTTTTGTGCCACTGCTGGAAGGTGGAATAATTCACAGACGTCTTGAGCTCTGTGCTTTGCATGTACAGTCAGTGAGTCTGTGTGTGTAAGGAGGGACTTACCCTGACACCACTTCCTCCCATTGCTGTGCCACTTATAGTTCAAATAGATTAAATCTGGCCTTCTCACTTGAAAGCTGAATGGGAATTTTATATTTTTTTAAAGAAGAATACAGTCTATCCCAAAGATATTTCTTAAGAGAGCAGCAGTAAGTGTGATACCCACTACTACTATGTGGTGTAATACTGAGTAAGTAACTGCAAGGAGTTTTTAGAAGAGTTTCTAGAAACTTGTCAGGCATGTTTAACACCAGCTTCCTGGGTGAGGACTCTCTTCTGTGTGCCTGAGGGTCTCAGTGCAGCAGCTGGAGCACAGCTCAGGTGGGAGGTCTGTGTGTCTGTGATTGTCAGTGAAGGTTGGAATAGACCAGAGGGTGAAGGGGTGACATGGCCTGGGAGCCAAGGGGGTTCCAAGGGTGAGAACGTGGGAGGAGCTGGGTGTTGGAGAGATGAGGAGATTTCTAGACAGGTCTGTGTGTGTCTGTGTGTAACAACTGTGACAGTTTGTACCAGTAACTGGAGCCTTGGGGACTCGTATGTTCAGATGCCAGAAACTAGGGAAACTGGGCTCTAGGAGCAAATACTGGGTAGACTGAATGCCTGAGACCAGCTGCTGGAGTGATCCACATCGTAGGCATGGAGACAGAGATGTGTGTGTGTACACACACATTTATCCATGCATATATATATTCCCGCAGATGGATTTCATCCTGCTCAGACAGACAGGTGCACAGGCTGAGGCCATCAGTGCAGTTGTGTCTGTGTGAGAGCCCTGAGCATCTGTGATCTGTGTGAACACATATGCCTGTACATATGTGTTACATGTGTGTTCTGTGTTCATTTGCCTGATGGGAATATGAGCTCAGCCTTGCAATTTGTAGGGCCTAGGGACATGGAGCTGTGTCAACCTTGCTGAAGCCAGATCAAGCCTAATTTCCCTAACAAAGTAAACCTCTCCAACCAAACTTCTCCCTAGTGTTTGCCTCTGAGCTACTGGGAATAAAGATATTATCATGGTCACCTTTTAGGAACTAATGAAAATGGCTTGCAGGAACTGTTCTTAAGCTGGGGGTAGCTGAACTGTCTAAAAGATATAATTATCTTTTGCAGAGCTAAAGCAAGAGCATTTGCTATACTGATGCATCAGCGTATGATGAATTTTTATTTCATCAAAACCATGGCTGTAATATATCTGTAGCATGTTACTTCCAATTTACCCTTTTCACAACTTGAGTCAGACCAGCACATGCTGGTCAGAGACCAGGAGAAATATTTTACCACATACAAAAGCTGAGGTAGCTACTTTGACTTCCTTTTGTTTTACAACAGTTTCTAGATATAATCCCTTAATGCCATTATACTTCCCAATCTGACAAAAAATGGGCTACTGGTGACTTGAAAAATGCTTTTCATCCTATTGCAGGTTGGCCACATTTCCTGCCCTTGTAGCTGCTACTGAGATTTAGTTTTGTTGATGCTGGCGATTTTTCCCCTCCGAAGTTAGGATCTCAAAAGAGTAAGTAACTCTTTCTACTTTTAACTACTAGTTGGGTTTTAAATGATTACAGGTTGTAACAAAATCTGCCTCCTATGCTTACTGGTCAGCTAGGAATATTCTTTCATCTTTGTGTTTTAACTGTTATGAAAATGCACATTTGCCTAAAGGTTACAGCTGATTTGCATGAGCAGACAGTCAGTGGTAACCCTGTGCTCTAAACACTGGACACCGTGGTCTCACACTACAGCAACTGTCCTCTAATAGAGGTGTAATGCTCGCACAAGCACTCATGTTCCTGCTACTCACACACTGGCAGGCACATGCATCAACAGCTTCTGACAGGCTGTTTCTTCACCCCCCTGCTGTGGTCCTGTCCCTGTTATTCCTGGCTGTCCCAGGGAGCTCCTCGATGCTGGTTCCTGGAGTGCAGCTCAGGAGGAGTCTCTTCCACATTAGGGAAAGTACACGGAAAGCTTTTTGGTTTAATTCATTTTACTTTAGAAGTGTAACAGAAAAACCAAAAGCCAAAGAGCGCCTCTTTCAGAAGAAACGGCTTCAAAAACAGAAATGGTGACTTGTGGGAGATGTCAAGTACTCAGGCACCACACATAGTCTGCCTGATACAGTTGAATTTAACAGGGTAAATGCTTACTTTAACTGGCCTATCTTATCCGGGCTTCCCTTCCAAGAAGGAAGCATTAAAACCCCATATTTTTTATTTCTTCAAAAGATACTGTATCCGAGCAAAACCACTCAAAGGTCTTCTGAGAAAAGGAAACAGAAATACAAATTCAACTTACTCTGCATAAAAAAATGCTTGTGATGAAAAAAAAAAATGCAATCACTTAAGAATCTGAAGCAGAAAGCTGCCTCTTTTAGAAACATGGCCTTCTGCCAGTCTGTGATCACAGCCTGTCACTGCAGCATGTCTTACATCCTCTTGCAAAGAGAAGTACAACGTACTTGCATAATCTAGAGGAACAAGGATTGCTTAGTGGAGTATAAACTCCCTATACTCATGGATAGCTTAATTTTGAATGTAGCTTATGCCTTCAACTATACTAGAAGTCATCCTGGACTTTGTTGAGTGTCAAAAAAAGGTCTTGTCTACACTACAATGTGCACTCAGTCTGTTCCAACCCCCAGCTTCAAAAGCACAAATCCCATTTGAAATGAGCAGGAAAGAGACCTCAAGGCCTTAAGAAAACACAGAAAGGCAGAAAATCAGGAGAAAGACTTCCTGGATAGGCAAGTGAGTCCCAATTACATCTAGGAGAGTCTGCCTGATCACAGCATGACTCTGTGTGACTCTGGAAGGGTTTAAGGATCTAAACAAAATAAAAGGATTCCTGAAATTTCACTCATGGAAGTCTCAATTCGTTTTTATGACTGACAAAGCTCCAAAGCCAGGTGGACCCTGAGCCACTGAAGTCTGAAATAAAAGATTGTTTGGAGATGATATTTCTTATGTCCAGAGGAAAACACCATTTTTTTGAGTCCTTCCCCCTCTAACTCTCTGTTCTTTCACATCAGTTGGTGCTGCTTAAAAAACACCGCTTCCCTGTGAACCTTGCTCTGTTTTCTACCTTTGTTTATCTGTTCTCATGTGTTATTAGCAGCTTCCCTCCTTCTTATGCAAGCACACACACCCAGATGAGAACACAACCACCAACACCTGTTAGATCCTGTCCCAGGAAATCCAGTTGATAGGACTGCTGTACATATAGTTTTCCCTAGATAATGTCCCCTTTTCCACTGGAATCTGTACAGAGGGATTCAAGGACTTGGTATCTCCATCCAGGATTTCTGGACAGTGGATCTCTGAAACAGCCAGACTGCTGAATACCTAAAATGTTCTGGCACGTTCACTATACATGTGATTATCCATTTATAAAGCATGATTGGTGAAATGGGATGGCTTTCACTACCTTCCCAACATTTTCTTACCTCAACAGAACTGTTTGTTGAGCCTCCTGCTGCTGTGTGTCTGCTGTATTGTTTGAATTGCTGCAATCCGTCCTGCACAGCTTGTACCACTCCATTCCCCCCCTGTGGGAAACAGCCTTCTGCTGGAAGCAAACGGAGCTCCGAAATGCAGGCTTGAATTCGTGCAAAGTTTTCTTTCACTTGCTGCAAAACAGCGTTCAATGAACATGAAAGACTGTTAAACAAATAATATGAAACATCTTTCCATAATGTGGAAGAAGGTTTTTTGAATTCACAGCACTGAGGTTAGACTGGGGGCAGGAGCCAAGTCATAAAACAGTGAACAGTGATATGGATTCAACCCAGCTGGTTGTTAGGTCAGTAAAAATACACACAACCACTCCTCAGGTTTTCAGCTATCTCCCTGTTGCTAAGCCAAAATGCAGGAGGAATAGGACATTACCCTTTTCTCTAGCCCTGTGTAACAGGCAGAACTTGGGACATGAATAGGAACACTGAGATGGTGGAACATCCCCAGGCCACAGTCACTCCTGCCATATCTCTGCTTTTTGTTCATTGAGCTGTGAACCTCTGGAATTCCTTCAGGAGGGTTTGGAGTTAGAGTGTGGCAACAGGTTCAAAAATGAGTTCCACAAGCTCATGTCATCAATGCCAGGGAGCACCATCAGCTGGAGGTGCTCTGCTCTGTCCTTATTCAGTCCCACATTAAAAGTTTTTGATGCTTTAATGCTCACACCCTATCTTGTCACCATTTGCTGTCCTCTACAGTTATCTACATACTTTCTGGTTTCTTTTTCTTTGCCTCCCTGCCCTTTCCAGGGAAGCTCTTTGGACTTGTCAGACCCTTTTGGGGAGACCATAAACAAACACCCAGGAAAGACTATGACAAAGGTTACCGTATATGACACTTCCCCATGTATTCTCCCAGTCTTTATTTTCAGCTCAGGGACTTTCCTGACTTCACATGACTTGTCTAACAAGCACCCTTTAATACAGCTCTTTCTTGATTCCTCACTGAGCAGTGTCAAGTCTTTCTCTAGCTGGATCAGAAAGACACTGTGCTCACAGTCTGCCCTGTTGAGACACGGGCAAATTCAGGGGTGCAGGAGAAGTAATGGAACCCTGGTATTTCTGAGGAAGGCTGAAATGGAACACATACTCATCAGACAGAGATGTAAAACTGCTCCTGATTCGGAAGCAGAGTACCAGATACCACTGTTACTGAAATTAGGTTCATCAAGCCATAGAAACATATAGAGTGTCCTGAATTGAAAGGAACCCACAAGGATCATCCAGTCCAACTCCTGGCCCTGCACAGACACCCCAAGAACCACCCCCCTGTCCCTCAGAGCATTGTCTAAACCCTCCTGGAGCTCTGGCAGCCTTGGGGCTGTGCCCACTGCCCTGGGGAGCCTGTTCAGTGCCAACCACCCTCTGGGGGAAGAACCTTTTACCTGAGATCCAACCTAAACCTCCCCTGAAAAAGCTACAGCTGTTTCCTTGGTTCCTGACACTGGTCACAGAGAGAAGAGATCGATCCTGCCCCTCGTGAGGAAGCTGCAGACCCTGATGAGCTCTGCCCTCAGTCTCCTCTTCTCCAGCTGAACAAAGTGACCTCAGCCACTCATAGTCTGAAGAACACAGTCACCTTGAAATACTTTACTGTTCCTGAAAGTGAAAGAACAGCTCTGAAAAACAGCTTCAGTACAACATGAGATGTCTGAAATAAAGAGATGGCTCCCAGAGCAGAACACCCAAAGAAAGCTGGGGAGAAGGGGAGTGGGAGCTCACAGTCTGCATGCACAGAACTAACTCAAGTCTTTGAGTGTGAGCTTTGCTGTCTTGGACAAGTCCAAAAGAAATGCAGTATTATGGCAAAAGAGCTGATGTGATGACCAGTCATGCAAACAGGAGGGGTATTTTTAATTCTCTATACAGCATTGCTGAGTCCAGAACTGGAATCAAAAACCAGCAGACTGAATATACAGAAGGGCTTGGAAGTTATTAAGTGGTTGTAAAAATGCCTTGCAGTTAGACTTATAATTTGTTCTCTTTAATTTACCAGCTAGAAGACTGAGAAAGGACTTGCTTCTATTTAGATGAAGAAAGGGTAAAATACAAGCAGTTTCTCTGAGCTAGCCAAACGAGTAAATATATTAACAAACCCTTGGAAGCTAAAACAAATAAATTCAAATAAGAAACCAGGTGCAAGTCTCACAACGACAATGATTAACCACTGGAAGAAATCACCAAGAAAAGTACTTGATTATCCACCTTGTAATATCTTCAGACCCAAACTAGATGGCTTTCTGGAAGAAGTGTTTTAACGATATATGGGTACTTTGATGAAATACAATAGCCTGTAATATGAAGAAAGCCAAACAGTGATCTAAAGGTTCCCATCTTTAAAAACTGTGAGCATCAAAATGAGGAATTGTTGTTTAAATAAAAAAGACATCTGATCAAGAGCAGCAGAGTCATAATACTCTACATAAGTAGAGGGATTGTGTCAAGGGTCAGATGTCCTCTGGTGAGCCACAATTACCAGATGAGATCGGAGGTAGCTGTCAGCCGGCACATGCTGGACCAGTGCCAGGACATACCCAGTATTTATAAAAGTAGATATTTGGCCCCAAACACTCACAAACTAACTTGGACATAATGCAAACTCAGAGAGAGCACGTCTGGAACCAGCTGTGAAACAGATCACCGAGATCGTCCTGCAGTGACATGCCAGTACGAATTACCACTAAATTCATCCTAGGAAGCAAGAAAAAGTGTTTGCTCCTAAAGCCCCTAATCAGAGTGATTCCACGGTATCTTCAGAAAACGTTTCTTTGGTATTCCCTTAGTCACCTGAGTCACACTATCTATAACCTGTTCTATAAAAGAAAGCAAGCAGCTGCGTGGTACTTGGTTGCTGGTTGAGGTTAAACCAAGACACACCATTAGCCACCTTCCTCTTGAAGATCACATTTGGTAAATTACTGTTATCTCTGATTTTTTATTTTTCCCAGTTGATCTCTACCTTTCCTGAGATGTGAAAACTTAACAAAACATTTCAGAATGTTTTCACCATTGCTGTATAAAGTGGAAGGGTTAGTTCTGTGTGTTTACATTAATGTTGTGCAAATGAGATTGCTCGGTGTGACTGTTTCTAACACTTTAACTTCATAGATTCTTGTGCACTTTATCATGCACAAACTGTTACTGTAGAGTTGCTTGTCATTCTCCATCTACATTTAGTCCACTGCATAGCCCCAGATGAGTGCAGTACTTGTTCTTATTGACTTAGATCTATATATTTAAAAGCTGTGCAGATGTGGTGCTTAGGTACATGGTTTAGTGATGGAGTCAGCAGTGCTGCGTTTAGGATTGGACTTTATCTTAGAGGTCTTTTCCAATCAAAATGATTCTGTAATTATATGATTTCAGGATATTTCTCAAATTTGGCAATAATCTTTTAACTCTGTACCTCTACATTTAAATATCTGGAATCAGTGGTAATATTTTTTCACTGTCCAAATTATTACAGCTTGGGCTGTGTTTGATAATTCTGATAGAGAAGCAGTACAGATAGTGGAGAAAGTACCATATGAATGGTACAGATGACAACAAAACCTAACTTATGCATGTGAGCAGCTTCACAGATCAAAAATATTACACTTCTTTTAAACTTCACTTTTCATAAAATTCTGTGAAACTATGCTTTTTGAGAATGACTAATTTTTAGATACACATTTGCAGTAAATAGTAACTTTCTCTACTGAATGACAACAATATATTGCATTCCCCTTTGTGAGCTCCCCAGGGCCCCAGTTTTGGCCATACCGTGAAGGGAAGCAGACACTCCTGCTGGGGCTGCACCACATAGAGGCTCAGCAGGGGCACACGGCAGGGCCCTGCCAAGCCACATGCCAAGCACAGCGTGTTTTCCAGAGCCTCAGAGAGCACAGAGCAAGTATTGGCCCAGGAAGGTGATGTGACATCCACAATGAGAATCCGTGATGGTTGCTGGCAGTGGGCTTTAGTAGCAGGAAAAGTTCTCCGTGTTTCTGAGAGTAATTTTCTGGAATTCATGGCTTCTGAACACAGGTACTACATGTCCAATTACCCATCTGCATCTGAATGGGAGAAATAAACAAAGAACAGCAATGAGTGAGACTCTCCCTTTCCCATTCAATTTAAACCAACCTGAGGCACAGCAGACATTAATGACAGAAGTTCCTATATCTTTCTCCAAAGCAATCACTGTCCATACTCTAGGATAAACTCACAAAAGACAAGAGAAAATGCATGTGGTCAGAAAACAAAATGCTTCAACTAAAGACCCGTGGCAGATACTCTCTTACAGGTGCAGCTGGAGCAGCTACAAATGTTAGCAGCACAGCCATACTTGAGCTGTGTGACATGTCTCCTGATCCCCTAGTGGGGCTCAGATGCATCCATGGCCAGCAGACAACCAATGTTAAGCAGCTACTGGAAAGCAAGACTGTGAAATCCTCCTCCTAATTCTGCAGTGGTCAACAGGTTCTACCCAAACACCAAGGAGAACACAGTCCCTGCTCCTTCATACCCAGCAGTATAAGACAAGTAGCTACTATATCCAAAAAAGAACATCACGATGCATCAAGAAAGTATTGCATATACATAAATATTACCTGGTGGATGGGAGAACCAACTTTTATCCTTCAGACTGTCTAACAGCTGGGATAAGCTCTCTGCACTGACAAAAGCTTTGATGAACACACAGCACTGTCTCGTCCTGTTCAACAACATGGGAGCACTGCAAACCTTAAAGCATCTGCAACGTCGGAAACTCCAAAAGAATTTACCTCCAGCCAAGTACCATCTTTGATTCCCAGAGCTGGCTGGTGATGCTGGGAATGCTGTGCAGGGAGGTGGCTGTGCTTCACGTGTCATAGAGGTGTGCCAAGAGACACAGAGATTTGTTAGAGCAGCTCAGGAATGCTGCCAGTATCAGGTGACAGCTTGCACAAGGCAGGGGAGGAAAGATAAGGGCTCCCCAGTTCCCCATCATCTTTGTGTAGGAAGAGAGGTAAGGCCTCTTGTTGCAAGGCCATGGGAGACCACAGATCCCTTCAGCAAACAAACAGAACATATGGTCAGGGCACATTTCTCCCCCACCTCTTTTTGTTCATTTCCTTTCAAATATCCACCCTTGCATCGATCAGCATCACTACATATCACCTCTGCACGCATAAGGCTCAGCTGGTGCCTTGAGAGACTCCCCCAAAATCTTTCAGAAAATGTGACCATTTCTGGTAAACAGTCCCAGAGAAGAAGAGAGGAGCAAACAGGAGTGTGCTGTCAGGTCTTCTGCCTCCTGTACAAATCAGAGGAAACCAATCAGCCCCAAGCAAACACCTCACAGTTTGTCTCAAAGGTGTAGAGCCAAAGGATTGAGATGTGCTCATCCACAGACCTGGAACATGATGCTTGTTCCCCCACCCATCTCTCTTCAATATATACATCTCAAGCACAAGAGTCAGCATTTTCCTGTTTATTTTTTTTTCTTTGTGAACAAAGAATCTTCATAAAATCTTCACCAAATCTGAACAAAACATTCAAGTGCTCTTTGTAAGGATATTGAAAATGCTTCAAAAATGTGCCTTGGTCTTGGCAGTCACAGTACTATATAACCATACAAGTCTATCTGTGTCCAGAAAAGTGTTTTTATAATTGCATATATCTTCTCAATAGGAACTAGAATGAAATCTTTCTTCCTACAGCTGTGTCAATTCCTAGCAGAATTAGTAAGTTTGATGCATTTTCTATACTGGCTCTGGTCAGAACCCAGGCCAGTATGCATGCCCGTCAGTTGTGTGGTATGTTCAGCTCAGACAAAAAGCTCTTTTATGTTCACCAAGAAGACAAGATACTGTATTTCCCACAGCCTCCAGCACTTTGGAGTAAGAATTTCTGTAAGTCTTGAAAAGAGCAATAAATGCTTTTCTATTTGACTGAAGTATCATCAGACAAAAAATTCTGTATTTCTAGGATTCTTGTCAGTGAAGGCAAAACAGAGTGATCACAGCTTGAATTCCAAAACTGAGGCTAACACTTTAGAGCTGGTGAAAATGTTATACATATTGATCTAGATCATGGAGATATGTGTACGTATCTTGCTTTGACTAGTCCTCTGATATAATTTCATTGTCAAACGAAAAACTGCCAGATACCACTTTAATTGGTGTCTCTTCTGGACCTTTACAATTTGCAGGAGAGTTTACTAAATTACATCACTGAATCTGGGAAAATACTTGTCTGTCTGAATTTTTGGGGATGAAGCTTCATACCACTGAGCTCTGCAAGCCCCCAGTGCTTTATCAAACAAGGAAACAAAACCCATCCAGCAGTCAGAATCTACAAGAGTTGGCTGTTTGATTTGCATTGGTTTCAGAGAGAAAAATGAGCCTTGATGCTGAAGTACACAGTTTTCCTAAACTTGAATGAATTCTCTCATTCTTGACACTTTACAGGACTATGCTTATTTTAAAATGCTTTTGTAAAATAGATCCCTCATCAGCTATACTCTTTACCAGCTCAGTGAATTTCATTTCTTCATAATTGTAATGTCTTAATTAATCTCTGCTTAGCAACATTAGTATGATTTATATGCAGCTCTCTGTATATTATTTGACATACAGTGTAAACTGCCCACCTCTGTTACAGCCTCCTGTCACACTTGGCTCTGGTGAGGTTGGATAGCTAAAGAATTCTGTATAATCGTCTAACTGGTTGCTGTGGTAAAACGGCATCTTTATTTAAGGAGCGAGTGAACCACCAGAGTCTCCATCCTAAGGGACAATTCAGTGTGCACGAGTGAAAACTGTTAGTTCTGGCAGCTGCTATGACATTAACTTCTAGCTCAATAAAACAGAACTTACCAGCTGTCAGAGCTAACAGTGATGTACATTTTGCTCAATGCAAGAAGACATTTCAGAACGAGAAAAACAGGGACATAAAGAAAACTTTATCATACTGAGTACCTTGAATGCTGAGGACATTCTGCACTTGCATATCATCCTATATGCTTAATTTGTTCCAGTCATACAAAACCATCAAATAATATCCAAGTCTAAGAAAGTAACACCAAAGCCACTGTTTAAAGAGTATTAAGGATAGCTGGTTTAAAAATGTGCCATTTTCTGAGTAAGCTTCAAGACCCAGGGAAATATGAATATTCTCATGTGGAAAACAGATCAAGATGCATAAATAAGTGGGTTTACTAGAGAATAAACCAGCAACCAATTGAGAAGCCTGAGACATGGAATGGCTGTGCAGTCGTAATGACCTCTGTTTTGCATCTTTTTGTCCACCTAGACTAGAAAGGAAGGTATTTATTTAAAAAAGTGGGGATGAACAAAAGAACAAAAATAAAAAAACCAAAAGAGTTAGTACAAAATCAAGGTACTGAAAACAAAATTTTTCAAGATCCTATATAACAGAAGATATTATGTGTTATTCTATACATCAGTGCTATAACCAATCATAAATAAATGGCTTTAGGTTTGTGCTTTTATTGACATAAACCCACCAAATCTTCTTAAGAATAGTCACTTTATATTAGTGTTAAAATCACTCATTATAACCGTCATAGATTTTTTTTTCCTTAAAACAAGTGGAACTATAACATAAGGGGAGTTTAGAAAAAGGCGTTTTCTAGTACTGAAGCAGCAAGTTATGATGAAACCTTATCAAGCAGTACGTGGACAGAGCAGCAGGGCAAGGACAAGCTGCCACATAATCCACATAGTGCCCAAGTGCTCCAGCTGAACAACAGCCAGCTCATAAACCCCAGCAGGAGCGCTCTGAGGAAAGCTGTGTTATCATGGGGGACTTGCGTTTTGAGTGACAGGCTGAAATTCTCAGAATTAAACTTTATAGGTACTGTAATATCTTTTTGATGAGATTATGTGTACAGCTAACGGAGCCTCACGGGGCAAGTGTTCCGTCTTGCCTGGCATATTGATTAAGAAACTAGAATGACATGATGTCAAGACACACACTAACCTGATATAAACCTGCATAATTCATGAGCCCCAGCACATGCTGCACACAGGGAATCACCACAGAGGCTGCTTTAATGGGCACATGGGAAATCCTGAGATATACCCAAGTACTGGAGCAGACTGGTATTGTCCCCCAGTTCATGTGTTTCGATGGATCTTCTAACAGAATTTCTTCTATCCTGGATGTGGCCTCTGAGTCTAAATTTTCAGTCTCACTGTAACATTCTCACAGGTTTATATTTCCTGTACTTTTTTTAAAAAAAGCTTTAGATAGCAACACTCCCTCCCTAATGAACTCTGTGGCTGGATCCTCAGAGCAAGGAGGATACAGCACACAGCAGCCTGCTGCCCTTGTCTTCTGGCCCACAGGAAAGCCTACAAATCCCACCTGGAACATGAAGACTTGGCCACTGAGGTCTCTAAACTGGACAGCCTCGACCACCACAAGCCAGCTCTGCTCCGTGGCAGTGCTTGGGAAGGGCAGATCCCCCTTCTCCGCTTTGCCCACAGCCGGTGCCTGCTGGAGAGGGGCAGGTGGGAATCAGGGTGAGTCCCCAGCAGGTCGGCAGAGCAGACGAGGTGGGTGAAACACTGCCCGTGCCAGTCCTCCTTCAGAAATAAACTCGGAGCCCTTCGGGCAGGGCCCTGCTGCAGGGGATGGGCTGGGACACTGTGCTGGGCTGTACAGACGCCGGGACAGCCACGTGTTCATGAACGGTGGCCAAGCTACAAAGGGGTGTCAGGGCACACCAGCACCTTTGCTGGGGTCTTTCACATCCCATGTGTTTTCCAGACATTATTTCTTGCTGCCACGGCATCTTTCTCTGTACTGGCCATTGTGTGAGGCACAGAGCAGGGAGGTAAGCACTAGGTTTGCTCCTTTAATGAATTTCATGAAATTCTGGCAGGGGAGCACTGGTTTCGTGCTGCTCACACCACTGCCAGTGAGATCTGGGATGCAGAGGCCTCCCAGCCCACACTCCCGGAGTTGCTTAGGAGTTTGGAGGATGCACTGCTCAGTTTCCACGGAAGCAGAGGTTTTTCTTTTTGCTCTCCCAACTTCGAAATATCATCGACATGGCTTTACACAAGTGAGTCTGGAAAAAAAGATCCTTTCCCCTGCCGCCTCCGTGGTTTGGAGTCGGGCCCGGGCCAGTGCCCGGTCCCGCACCTGCCGTGGGCGCTCCCCGCTCCCGCAATTCTCCCAGCTAGTTCCCTTCAGTACCGGGAATGTCGCGGTTCCGGGCACGGACCCACCTGGGCGGTGCCGATTCCCGATCCCGTCCCCAGCAGGTCCCGAACCTCGGGCGCTGCTCCCGCAGCTCCGCGCGCGGGCGGGGGCTCCGCGCATGCGCAGGGACGTCCCCGCGCCGGCTCCTCCTTGGCGTGGTGCGGGAGCCGCGGGAAAGGGGTGCGTGGGGACCGAGAACCGCGGGAAAGGGGTGCGTGGGGACCGGGAACCGCGGGAAAGGGGTGCGTGGGGACCGGGAACCGCGGGAAAGGGGTGCGTGGGGACCGAGAACCGCGGGAAAGGGGTGCGTGGGGACCGAGAACCGCGGGAAAGGGGTGCGTGGGGACCGGGAACCGCGGGAAAGGGGTGCGTGGGGACCGGGAACCGCGGGAAAGGGGTGCGTGGGGACCGGGAACCGCGGGAAAGGGGTGCGTGGGGACCGGGAACCGCGGGAAAGGGGTGCGTGGGGACCGAGAACCGCGGGAAAGGGGTGCGTGGGGACCGGGAACCGCGGGAAAGGGGTGCGTGGGGACCGGGAACCGCGGGAAAGGGGTGCGTGGGAACCGGGAACCGCTCTCGCTCCGAGAAGCTGAGGTTAATGAACCTCCCAGCAGAGCAGATCTTCAGAGCTGATGTACTCGGCAGTCGAAGTCATCAGGAGGGAGGCTTTTCGCTCCAACACCGAAAGAAGTAAGAAAAGCCAGTGCTCTTCCTCCCCAGGCACCAGCACATCAGGGCTTGCGGGAGCCAATAGCATCGCTGCTCTTTGAGTTCTCAGCCGTGCCCGCGGGGGTGGAGGCATCGTGTTCCTTCTCCCTGTGCTCCAGGGCAGCCCAAAAGCACCAGCACATCCCCTGGGCCTTTTTGGGAGCCTGAGGTGTTGCAGCACTGGTAAAACCGTAGGGGGAACATCTTCTCTCACTAAGTTTTGTATCATACTTGAAACTTTAAAAGTTAACATTGTGTAATTTACCAACTGACTTGCACTGGTTACACTGAAAGTGCTGAATAGTTGTAGGGTATAGTTTATTGGTTGTATTTAAGCCATTTGGTGTTTGTTTAAAAAGGGAGGTGATGGAATGTTATGGGTTTCCCCCCCCAATATTTTGAGGTAGTGCCCTGAATTACTTTATTTCTGCCTCTCTCCCAGTGGTGGGAAGTTTCCCAGCCGTCTCACGGCAGTTCTTGGGCAGCGCAGCTGCCAGAGGTCACTCCGAACTATCAGACAGATGAAAACCCCACAGCGAAGAAGAACCTGGATTTGGGAGATGGAGAATTTAATGGCATCGGTTTGAGCTGCGCCAGTTCATTGAATGCCAAAGGAAGATCCAGGACTCCTCTGGTTCCCTTGCTCTGGGCATTTTGGGAGAGGAGTCACCTCCCAGCAAAGGACAGGAAAGGCAACCCAGAGGGTGAGGCTTGGGAAGGAATTGGGAGCTGAGGAGAAGCTCCAATCAGCCTTAAACTCCTGGAATGGTGTGGGGTGGAAGGGACCTTATGGATCATCTCCTCCCAGCCCCTACCGTTGGCAGAGACATGTCCCTGGCGAACCTCCCGTGGAATTCACTCCATGCCAGGCTGGTGACACTGGGAGGGTTTTTCTCCCTGGGCCTAGTCAGGGTCAGGTTTGGGGTTTCCCTGGGAAGAAGCTGCATTTCAGGAGCTGGGAGGCTCCATGCCTGGAGATGTTTCCAGTGCTGCTGCTTCTTTTTTAACCACTCTTGGCCAAGGCTGGGCATGTTGTTGGTTCCCAGAGCGAGGGGGGTTGTTCAGATTGCACTGGACAAATATCCTGGGTGTTGGGAGGCTGTGTGGTCTCTTTTCTCCTGCATGGAAGAGTGGGGGAAGGGGGACAGTCCCGACAGTGGCAGAGACACAGGAACAGCCCAGTTCCAGGGAGGACTGCGGTGTCCAGCTCGTGGTTTGCACCCTGAGGTGGTCTTGTTAATTCTACCTTAGAGACTGTTGGAATGCTGGTGTAGATTTGGGAAGAGCCAAGTAAGCTGGAGCTGTGAGGTTTTTCCTGCCTGAAATCCATGGGGATGTTTTGCCTGGCTGTCCCAAGAGGAAGCAAGAGCTTTGGAGTCACTGCATCCCTTGGAAAACCAGTTCAGGAGGGTTTGTCTGACTCTGCCCTGACCTGTAGCTTCCAGGGACCCTCCTGCTGTTCTGGATCTTCCTGGGAGAGGACATTCCCATGCCTGCTTTTTAGACAAGAAATCCCAAACACAGTAAGTCAGTCCCATCCTATCTGAGCTGTGCCAGTGGTGAGGTGTGTGGGGGGGGAACATGCCATGCTGCTCTTTGAGACATTCCTGACTGGAATTGGGGCTGAGGGAGCGCTGAAGCCACTAGTTCAGCTTGGAACACCATCCCCAGGGAATGCTGAGGCTTCCTGTGCCTGTGGCATTCAGCAGCACATCCCTGATGTGGTGCCAGAAAGATGAGGGGGGATGTTCTGGGTTAGGGGAGGATGTTTCTGGGAGCGACTTGGAAGAGGAATGGAATCACAGGCTGGTTTGGGTTAAAAGGGACGGTAAAGACCATTTGGACTCTGGCATCTGATTCCAGGGCAAAGATCATGTCTAAAAGCGCCTCCTCACCCTCCTGGATGTCGTGAGTGTCTTCCACGGCACTGCCCAGCCTGTTTGGGAACGGAAACAGCTGCTGGGAGCTCTAGCAAGAGCGTCTGGAGATCAGGTAAAAAGAGCCATGTGATTTTTTTGGCTGCTGCTGGATCTGGTTTTCCCCCCTGTCAGTGACACCCTGGGACCCTGCAGGGGCAAGCGGAGCCTCAGGTGGCCCGCTTTCTCTTAGAAAGATCCTGGACAGCAAATCAGACAACAGAACTCAAGAACTGCACAAGCATTAAGAGAAGGTTTGCCAGGAAGAACAGGAGTTCCTTGTTTTCCTTAACACTCTGGGACTACAGGACCCAATCTTTGCAACCAAGTGACAGTAGAGATGTTATTAATACTTTAAACTCTCCCCCATGGTTCTGTCTCAGAGAACTGGGACAGCCCTGAGCTACTCCCATGTGCCCGCAGAGCTTTGGGGAGGAGCAGGATGATGTCCCACTTCTGCTTAGAAACATTCCAGAGGAGGAAAAGCCACTTCCCTTCTCTCTCTGACCCAGCACCAAAGCAGCCCCACAGGACAACGTGGATTATGCACGGAAGGCCTGAGTCAGTGTGGGGAAAAAAAAAAAAAAAAACCACTAAAAAAGCCAAAGCACCCCAAATTTCAAGATAAAAACCATGCTGCTTCTGTAACAGGAGAACACAAAACTCATTAAAGCCAGAGAGAAAATTACAAACCAAAAAAAAAAAACCAAAAGAGATGCTTTGCACGGATATACTCTCTGCTTGATCATTCCAAAGGAAATTCTCCACATATCATAAGCCAATAACCAATAATTTGTCCTCTGCTGAAAATTAACGACTTGGGTTTCTGCTGCTGGGCTGGACAGGTCCCCGCGGGACCGAGCGGGGCGGGGAAGGGACGGCACGGGAGGGGAGCCAGGGGGCCTCGCGCCACGACGGGGGCTGCCCGCGCTAGTGCC